GGGTCAAGGACACACCTCACATCCAATCACCACGGAGCAGCTCTTCCTCTTTCTCCATTGTGTGGTCAAAGGGTTTGAAGCCGTGAGTTCAGACCTGAAGATGTAAATGGTGGGTCCAAATTGTGATTATTTGAGAAAATGATCTCTGGCAATTCAAAATTAAAACAAATATTTAACTCTGAAATTTGCTTCTAACAATTATCTATACTAAACCTTCAGAGCTGTTTACTTACCGTGGAATGGACAATCTTATATATAGAAGAGAACGCAGAATTGTTTGATTAGAATATTTTTATTTACCCACTTTTAGGCATTTATTGTTTATATACTACAGGCTACGTGTCACATACAAATCATTCTAAAAGCAATCATATAGAACACCATTTATTGTTTAAATTTTGGTTACATGGAGTTATAGTTGTGAGAGCAGAAAAAAATTCAAGTCTATCGGACTACTGCTCAGTTGAGCCACAGAATGTTTAATATAGACAAATACTAGTTGATTAAAAATATTGATGCTCCCTGCAAACAAAAAAAGAAAATTGGGTCTTATTAAAAAATCTTAATTATGCAAATGGAATCTGACTCAATAATATTAATAGCATACACTGAAGCTCTCAATGATTGATTCTCTGTCAGACCTTTAATTAATCAAAAGCAACTGACATTACTTTAGATCTAACTGTCTTTCGTTGTAGATTAAAACTCTTATTGTCTTCGATTGAAGCTCTGATATATAACTGCAATTTTTATTAAAGTTAAAGGACTACAACAGCTTCACAATCACAAATTCTTCCTCATACAGTATGTTTGTATGACCAGGTCATTTTATCACAAAGGATAGAAAGACAGCAAATACTTGTTTGGTACTTCTTTGATACTGCTTTACACTGGGGAAGAGCTCAGTGCACAATAATATACAGCCCTTGTGTTATGCCCAGCCACAAAACCACTGGAATAAACAGGAGAGGATATATTTTCTGGCTTGAACAATTATGGTCAAATACTTCCTACTCAGTTTAAAAAAAGAAAGAAGGTTGCCTAAAAAAATCATGGCAATTTGTTACATTTCAATCAACAATCCATCAAATCAAATCAAATTGTTAAACATGTTACAATTTAATCAAATCTAAATAAATACAGTGAACACAAAACATTTTAGAATTTATTTTATATAAATAATACTTGGATATTATATATACTGTAAATATAAAACCATTCAAATATAAACAAAGTAAAAATGCTACAAAAAATTAAAAAGCCAAAAGCATCAGTAAAAAAAATGTTTTTCTCTCATTAACAGCTACTGGATGTTCAGAACACAATAACAAATCGACAAAAGTGCATATCCAGACAAACCTCTGAGGGTCAAAGGCCTAAGGTCTAAGGCCTCTGCAGATACAACACCACTCTAAACAAAACATCCAAATAACATACAGCCATGAAAAGAAGATCAATTTATTCTATGTAAATCTAGCCTTACAGACCCTAATATTGCAATACATGTCCTACTCTGCAACATGTACAGTAAATTACACATTTGTCAGGCATATGAATATAAAGCTAACTCATTATGCACATTTATACAGTATACAGTACAAACCATTGTTTTCCAGTTACAGTGCCAATGTAGCTAGTTTTTTATAGAAAATGTCACAAAAGTTAATAAGGTCCACTCTTTCCATAAGCTTATAATTGCATAAAATCCTCTTTATTGAGAAAGAAGCTTAAGTGAGACCTACAGAATTTAAATATAGTAACTTTATTAAATCCTGAAAAATTAAATCGAAAACATTCAAAAAATATTTATGTCCGACACTTCTATGTCAGCAAGGCCAAATGACGCATTTCTCACTAAATCCACAAGAATTATTCCTGACAATGTGACAATAGCATGTTAAAGTTCAGTCACTAAACTATCAGATCCAACATGCACATGAAAAAAGAGTACTTTTTCCAAGTTTCTCCAAAAGGGCTACCATGTGTCTGATTTAAAACATTTATATTTAATTATGTTGCAATTTATACTGTCTTCTTATACAGTCTTTGCTCAGAGATTTAGGAATGTTCTCATTACAAAGAAAATGATCACACAGTTAAATTTGATTTATTTTCCTCATATCCTCATTTGATTAAAACCTCTCAAATGTAAATTAAACATCTGAGTTGTTTGTTGTGATTACTGCTATATACCTATGCACAAAACTACAGCTGGAAAATCCATTAATTTAAACCACATTCTGACTACAAGTGGGATTTGTGCTTGTTATTGGAGCAATTCTGAAATACAAATAATCTTGAACAAAGCAGAAAAAAATATAAATCAACACTACCTCACCCTAAACACTTATCCCTGATTTGATTTTGTTCTCAAAAAATTAAACCTGCAGTTCACCAGTAATACATCTACAGTAATACATCTTAAAATACAAAACTGAAGTTGGTCATGTGGCCAGTGCTCCACATCATCAGAGGCATAGTATAAAAAAAATCTCTTAATGCAAACAGTAGTGTATGGTTTGCATAAATTCCTTGTAGGAAGGCTAAAAGTCATGCTCTGCATTTATTAATAATGCCACTATTGCAATTAATTCGCAATTAAATTAGGATTTCAAGAGCAAGTCATTCAAGTTTTTCTAAATTATTTTGTGTTATAAACCTGCAAAATTTAGAATTCCCAATTGTGTGTTTATTGCATCTCGGTGAACTGCTATGAACCCTGCAAACACACTCCTTTAACCCGCCCACTTTCAAACCACTCATTTTTCAACTCCTCACAGCCCCATGTACAGCAGGAGGTTTATCGTTGGCTGTAGGGGAGGCACATACCTAACTAGCAGCACTGCAAGCACCAGGGAAGACACAGCGATCATGCTGTCATTGGGAGCTGACAGAGCCCAGCCCTACCCTCATTACTGAGGAATTAGTCAGAGTCAACTAGTAACATGTCGCTTTTTCAGATCCATGAGTTCAATCAACCTACAGTACAGCAGGTAGAAGACAACCTCCCGGACAAAAAGAAGATAGTAAAAGCTGTTTGAAGACTCAGTGTAAGGTTGATTCAGTGCTCAAATTGAGTCTTTTTTCCCTCTTGAAGTGCTGGGATTTTCAGCATTTTTTACATGGCCAAGCTAAACTTAAATGTTTTAACAGAACCCATCTAAGTTCAATGGCATTCAAGAACTCCAGAAACAAAACTATGCACATAGGTGCTTTTGTTTGTTTAGTTTAGTTTTAGAGTGAAGTTTAGGTACTGGCTGAAATTTAGGGGTTGTGTTACTGTCAGAGTACTTCACTACACTCTGCATTCCCAACAGTACTGGATATACAGCCATCGTGTAAATGGCTACTGGAGTCATTTAGGCCCTTTAGGGAGTCATTTAGGCCCTAAACCTAGAGTGTTCTGCCTTTCTTTTTGTTGACAGCTATGTAAGGAGTGACTTCAAAGAGAAGGGGAAGATCATACAGTGGATATAAAAAGTCTACACACCCTTATTGAATTGCAGGTTTTTGTGATATAAAGCCAGAAATCAAGATAAATCATGTCAGAAATTTTTCCATCTTTAATGTGACCTTGCAAGCAAAATTCAAGAGAAAAACAAATAGGTAATTATTAGGAAAAAGAATTGAAATGAAAAAACCTACAACACCCTGGTTGCATAAGTGTGTACAGCCTTTTATAATGGGGGCTGTAGCTGTGTTCAGAGTTAACCAATCACATTCAAAATCATGTCCAAAGTTAAGAAGCATACACCTGCCATCAATGAAAGTGATTCTGATTAACCCCAAATAAAAATCAGCTGTTCCTGTAGGATTTCCTTGAAACTTTCGGGTTGCATCCTACTGGGATAGCCATGGTCCGCAAGGAGCTGACAAAACATCTAAGGGATCTTATTGTTGAAAGGTACTGATCAGGAGAGGGGGATAAAAGAACATCAAAGGCATTGGAGCACTGTTAAGACTATTATCAATAAGTGGAGATACATGGACATTGCCAAGATCAGGACGACCCTCCGCAGTTGATGACAGGACAAGGAGAAAACTTATCAGGGAGACTACCAAGAGGCTTACAGCAATATTAAAGGAGCTGCAGGAATTTCTGGCAGGTACTGGTCACTCCTTGCATGTGACAACAATCTCCCGTATTCTGCACATGTCTGGGCTATGGGGTAGGGTGGCAAGACGGAAGCAATTTTCACATAAAAGAACATCCAAGCCCATCTAATCACCCCAAACTATGTGGGAAAAAGTTTTATGGTCTGATGAGACAAAGGGTGAACTTTTTGCCTAAATTGTAAAAGATAAGTTTGGCGCAAAGACAACACAGCCCATCATCCATAGAATACCATACCTAATGTGAAGTATGGTGGTGGCAGCATCTTGCTTTGGGGCTGCTTCTCTTCAGCTGGGACTGGGGCTCTAGTCAAGATAGATGGGATAATGATTTTGGCATAAAACCTGCTGGCCTCTGTCAGAAAGCTGAAGATGAAGAGGAATTTCACCTTCCAACATGATAACGACCCAAAGTACACATCCAAGTCAACCAAAGAATGGCTTCAGAAAAGGAAGATCAAAGTCTTGGAATGGCACAGTCAAAGCCCAGACCTCAATCCAATAGAAAACCCGTGGAATGACCTAAAGAGGGCTGTGCACATGAGATGCCCTAGCAATTTGAAGGAGCATGAACTTTTTTGTAAGGAAGAGTGGGATAAAACTGCAAAGTCTAGGTCTGCAAAGTTGAGACAAAACTTATTCACAAAGACATACTGTTGTAATAAATGCAAAAAGTGCTTCCACAAAGTATTAGTTGGGGGGGGGGTGTGCACACTTATGGAACCAGGGTGTGTTGTAGGTTTTTTCATTTCAATTCTTTTTCCTAATAATTATCTATTTATTTTTCTCTTGAATTTTGTTGGTTGCAAAGTCACATTAAAGATGGAAAAATGTCTGACATGATTTATCTTGATTTCTGGCTTTACATCACAAAAACCTGTAATTTTAATAAGGGTGTGTAGACTTTTTATATCCACTGTATGTAATCATCTCCCAAACGTTTATAATCTGAAAAGGACTAAGATACCAGAAAAGAAAATTCTCCTGAATGACTACTAAAAATACAGTTATGTTCTCCCTTTTGTTTGTTTAAAAAGTGTGAAAAATACAGAATACTAAAGTAGGAATATATTTAACATATCAGACACACAAGGCAGCTGTGAGAAAAACTGTTTGTGGTGGACTTCTGGCACAAAGATGACTTCCATGCAATTTGTACGATAAATACTCTTTTTACCTCCAATAGTCACTGTCTGTGCAGTGCTGTACAGTAGTAAAAATTAATTGTCAAAGTATTACCTGCCAACACAGTCTAAGCAAAACTATATGAAATAACAATTAAACCAGTCACATAATTAGTGTTTTCTTAGCTACAGTGCAAGATAGCAAGATAACTCCAAAATACAGTAAATAAACATACTGTGTCTGTGTCTGTGCATACTGTTAAATGTATGTAGCAAGTAGAGTTTGTAACATGCCATAACACCCTGTTATAAAATGTATACAGCAATTTTTTTATAACATTTGTCGTGTTAAATGAACTTTGCTAAACAAGTTAATATTACTTTACATGTATCCCAGGCTGTTGAGACAAGACTGAAAAAATATAACTAGACAAGCTTGTACACTGAGGTTACAGGAAATGAACAAGCCTTTTAACATCATATGTTCTAAATTGGCATACAAAAGATAAAGGAACATTGAAAAGTGATTATTAAAATATTTTGGTCATAAAATTTCATTGTACTGGTAATAGAGGGAAGTGCAAAGCCAGTAGCACCCCACTCAAAATTAACTAGCTAACAGAGGATTGAAAACTATTCCATTGGACAACAGTATGAGCAATGTTACGTCCGCAGTCAGGTCAATAAGACACACTCAGTAAAAGGGGAAATGAGGTAATACACGTCCTACGATAAGCTCTAAAATCACAATACTAGAAGGCTGCAAAGATAAAGCACTGGTAGTCTTCTTTCTCCTCTACTTTTTAAGATGTAATCTGAGAAATGTAACAAAAATGGCAAGGACTCTGCTGCAGCCTACTGTGGACCTGCAGATTTCCACAAAAGGAGGACTTTAAAAACGCTAAGGATATCCATTAGCAGATAAATGGAATACAGATATCCAAAAAACCCTTTCATAAATATGCTTGTTTAAAAAAATGTTAGCAGGCTCTAGTACTTGTACAGGTTGTAATTGCTGACCCAGTAAGAAGGGAAGGTCCAGACAGGAAAGCGATCCAGTAAGTCTGCAAGCTGTGGTGTCTTCTGATCCTCCCCAAAGAAGTAGTGAGATGCTATAGCAACAGTGATCATTCCATCAGCAAACTCAGACTTGGGGGCCTGGTATAGGAGAGACATTGCAGGTGATTATGGGTTTTCATCACAAATGGTTTCTCCTGAAAAATTAACTATTAATATGGGGCTTCTGACAGGAGTTTGCAGGAGTCTGTAGGGCTTTACAAACATAGTTGCTAAAACTACAAATGGCAAAGAAACACTGTTTTTTCAGCTTAGGGAGAACCAGTTATTTAAAAAGAATCAGATGATGAATCAAGGTAGTGTGTTTCATAACAAAGGGACAGCAATAAACTAAGCAGTTAAATCATTTATTTTATGTGTGCCTTTACTGTAGGTATCAAAGTACAGGTTTGAGCACCAGCTGATTTTTTTCAAATCTAATTCAAGCACAACTACAAAGTACAATGTGAACATGCTTTGATAATCATGTTTCTGACAGTACCGAGGTGTGCCCTGAGAGAAAATCACCTGAACTTCAATCCAGAACTTCCAGGCTGGAGCATCCAGGCCGTGGGAGTAAAAGATGAAGTACTCCCCCTCGAGGCCAAACTGTGGAGTGAAATCTCCAAATGACCAGCCGGACAACAGCGTTCCACTGTGGGGCCTGAGGTAGAGAGACATATGGCAGGGCCCTTGAGGATGGGAAAGCAGAAAAATTAAAAAATGTTCAGACCTCAGAATTGGGAAAAGTTGTAAACAATAAAGACTAGGAGAGTGAGAATTAAAATATCTCACCTTAAAGAGTTCCTTGTCATATTATTAAAAGCAGAATTTTATAAGGAAGAAACATCCTCCAAAATAAAAAATAATAACTGTCTAATGTAATTTCTAATAATTAAGGAGCATCCTAGTCACAATACCAAATCAACAATGTCAAATACTTGATAAAACCAGACACATCTGCTCTGAGACCCAGCAGCTTCTTCTTACCTGTGACTTCAAAGGACAGCTTAGTAGTACCCCAGTCTGTTTCTTCCCGGGACACCAGTTGAAACTGGAGTGGCATCTTTGGTGACACCTCTGGAGCAGGCAGATACCAATTCTTCCTGAGAAAGGAAACTCTAAAAACTGAAGAGGCAGTCTGGGCAGTTCATTCTGTTTTAATTTTTAAAACTGCATCATGTTTTTTGACTTTCCCTCGGGAGGGGGGATCAGAATACCTCCTGGGTATCCCTGCCTGTCGTAAGAGGCAACTAAAAGGGTTGTGTCAGGAAGGGCATCCGACGTAAAACCATCTTGCCAAAACCAAGGTTGCAAAGAACACAAAACACATACCGGATCGGTTGGGGCCCGGGTTAACAATGGCCACCATTAGTGCTGTGTCCCAACAGGGTACTAATGGAAATTATGCTACTGTGGGGAAAACTGTACAGTGAAGGCTACAGAAAAGAAACAAGGTGAGGGGGCCTGGAAGGAATGTTAAATCAATGAGAGTGGGGAGTTGGTATGTTGGTACCACGACAGGGAGAGGGAGAGAACTGGTTGAAACTATGGCAAGGAGAAAAGTGGAGACCTTGTGTGTGCAAGAAACCAATTGAAAAGGAAACAGCTCAAGACACTTAGGAGAGGGATACAATATTCTATACGCTGGAAAGAGTACAAAAATGAATGGAGTGGGTGTGATAGTGTACAAAGACCTAGCAGACAAGATGGTGAAGGTGGTTAGACACTCAGACAGGATTATCAATGTACAGGTGGCTTTTGAGAGCAGGTTGTGGAATATAATCTCTGTATATGCACCACAGGTAGGAAGACCACAGGAGGAAAAGGATAGCTTCTTGGAAGATCTCGAAGAAGTGGTTAGCAGAATCCCAGGAAATGAAATGGTGGTAATTGGAGGAGACTTCAATGCACATTTAGGAGAGAAATGCCTAGATTATCCAGATGCACATGGTCAAAGAGGGCTAGGAGAGAGAAATGAAGAAGGAGGAAGGCTACTAGAAACACTCCAAGCTCTTGAATTGTTTGCAATTCGAAGAATTATGAGCAAAAGGTGACATACAGGAGTGGAGGAACAAGTAATAGGTTTATTCCATGCTGAAAAAAAGAAGAAAGAGAACATAACGTTTTGGCCGTGGAGCCTTCTTCAGGTGTGAGAGAGACAGGGCAGTAGGCAAAGGTAAAGTAGCGGGAAAAGGGGGGAGGAGTGAGAGGCGGGAGCAGGGGACAAAAAGAGAGGCCAATCAAGAGGTGTGAAGTCAGAATGGGTGCAGAGAGGTGTGAAATGAAACTTCCAATGAATGGAGAAAATTTCAAAGAACAGTAGTCTGTCGTTAAAGGAAGGGAGAATGTGTGATCCTAGCTGCAGAATAATTTTAGTTTCAGTGGTCTTTCTGATGTATGAGTTCGGAAAACCGTCTTTGAGAACACAGACGGAGAGATTAGAGTGGTCGTGGCCGTCAGAGGTGAAATGAGAAACAATGGGCTTGGAGAGATCTTTAATCTTCACAGCCCTGACGTGTTCTCTGAGTCAGTCTCCGAGTCTCCTTCCTGTTTCTCCAATGTAGATGGCCAATGTAGATGACTCCACCATACAGGAGTGGAGGCCATGATACCCAAATAAACTACATATTAGTGAGAAGAATTGATAGAGCGAAAGTCCAAGATGCTTAAGTCCTGCCCTATGAGGCTGTTACCAGAAAACACAGGCTACTGGTGATGGACATCACAATATTGAAGGAGCGAAGAATAAAGCAGAGACCCAGCACGAACAAAAGTGTGGAAACTGAGAGAAAACAAAGTAGATTTCAACAGGCTGGTGAGAGAAATGAAAAACAAAACAGAGGAGCCTTCAGTTAGAGAAGAGTGGACTGAGATGAGCCACATACGAGAAGAGGCTGCAACCAGGGTTTGTGGAAAGACAAGAAGAGGCAGACCGAGTGGTGGTGGCATATGGAAGTTCAGGAAACACTGAAGGAAAAGAAAAAAAGCATACAAGGCACTGAAAGATGGCACTGGAGAATTACAAGAATATAAGAGACTAAAGAAGGTAGCAAAAAGAAGTGTAGCAAGAGCAAAGGATAGAGCCTGGAAAGAATGGTATGAGAAACTTGAAACAAAGGAAGGAGAGGACCAAATCTACAAGATTGCTAAACATTGAGCGAGACAGAAAAAATATATTATCCAGGTGGCAGTCCTCAAGGATGGAGAAGGCAGAGTCTTGATTAAAGAAGAACAGATCAAGCAAAGATGGAGTACTTCAAATGTAAAAAATGAGAGGGAGAACCTAGTGGAGGCAGACGTAGTGTGTGGACCAATCCAAGAAATTTCAGTAAAGGAAGTGACAGAAGCTATCAAAGAGATGAAAGTGGGCAAAGCAACTGGACCATCAGGAATAGCAGCAGAACACTTTAAGAACCTCGATGGAGAGGGGATTCAGTGGCTGACGAGATTGCTAAACAATATTGCAAAAGAAGAGAGAATTCCAGAAGAATGGACAAAAAGCAGTATGGTTACCATCTACAAGGAGAAAGGAGACCCAATGGAGTGTAAAAACTATAGAGGAATAAAACTTCTGGAACATGGATTGAAAATCCTGGAAAAAAATCTGGACAAGGGACTCAGGAAGATAGTCAGGATCCACAACTCATAATTTGGATTCTCAGCGGGGAAAAGCACAACAGATGCCATTTTTGTGATGAGACAGTTACAGGAGAAGACACTAGAGAAAGGGAAAAAGCTGTATGTGGCCTTTCTGGACTTGGAGAATGCATATGACCGTGTGCCCAGAGAGGAGGTGAATTGGTGCTTGAGGAAGAAAGGAGTACCAGAAAGCATGGTGAAGTTAGTTCAAGCAACCTATAGAGATGCAACTACGAAGGTGGTCACACAACGGGGAGAGACAAAAGAGTTTGAAATCACAGTTGGAGTACACCAAGGATCAGCACTAAGTCCCTTCCTTTTTATAAACATTACTGACACACTGACAGAGGAGGTAAGAACAGAAGTGCTTTGGGAACTCATCTTTGCTGATGATGTGGCACTGATGGCAGATTCAGGAGTAGAACTACAGGAGAAAGTGTTCAAATGGCAGAGGAGTCTGGAAAAGGGTGGACTGTAAATGAATGCAGAAAAAACTGAAATAATGGTAATGGAGAGAATAGGAGATACTATGACCAATGTTGAGGAGACAAATGGAGGAAAACTGAAACAGGTTGATGGCTTTAAATACCTTGGATCAAAACTGGTAACAAGTGGAGAGAAATAACTGGAATAATCTGTGACAAGAAAATTCCTAGAAAGTTAAAGTGCAAAATGTACAAGATTAGACCTGTACTAGTATATGGAGCTGAATGCTTGGCAGTTGGAAAGAGGGAAGATAACTTGATGAGAAGAACTGAAATGAGGATGTTGAGATTGATTCTGCAGATTTCAATGAAGGATAAGATCAGAAATGAAGAAATCCGTTGACGATGTAGGGTGGTGGATGTAGATGAGAAGATGCGAGAGGCGAGGCTACGGTGGTATGGACATATCATGAGGAGGGACGTTGAGGAAGTAACAAAGAGGGTAATGGAATTTGAGGTGGAAGGTAACAGGGGAAGAGGCAGGCCTAGAAAGAGATGGATAGATTGTGTGAGAAAAGATATGGAGGTATGTGAAGTGAGTGAGGAAGATGTACTCGACAGAGACAAGAAGAGGAAGAAGAAGGAGAGGAAGAAGAGGAAGAGGAAGAAGAAGAAGAAGAAGAATTTTTTTACATATTCATGAATCTCCCACAGACCAGATTACTATTATTTAAAATAGTTCCATGCTGTTGATTACGCACCTGACAAGAAAGCGGACAGGCAGAAACCATGGGAAACCACAGAAAGGGTGGCTATCTTCGCACTTGGCCCGAATGGTGTCATTGATTTCGGGGATGTGAGGTGTGATGTACCTCATCCCTGTGTAGTCAAACCCATTGATCCAAACCCCCGAGTCCTTCCTTTCCACCTGGCCATGGACGTCGTGGAACATGCGAGTGGTGTGCTAGAATCACATGGGTTACAGGGTTTAATTTGTTAAGAATCTTTTAATTATTCAGTTTTTAAATGGTTAAAGTACTAGAATTGTCATGTCTAAATGTGGTATGTACTGAGAAAAATCTTAAAGTGTTGAAATGAATAATAAGTAGTTTCAAATGCAGTGTCCAGAGGTGGACTGGTCATCTCTGTTACCTGCAGGAAGACTCGCTTGGGCCGAGGGTTAGAAGGATTGTCAGAGTAAGGGAAGAACAGGCCACAGGAAACCAACACGAGTACCACAGCAAAGACAGCACCCAGCACTGCCAACACCTTCTTTGTGCTCCTGACCAGGTAAATGAAGTGCAGCTGGGAGAGAAAGAAGACTCAGGCCTAACAGATCTGAAGCAATGCTTTGATATGAATCACGGTTCCACAAATCTGCTCATTCAACTCTGTGCCTTGCCTCTGCGTAGGACTGACAATATCAAAACCAGGTATAGATTACTGAGATCCTTTATTTCCTAAAAGAAATGTAAATACCTTTGATAGGACTGGCATTTTTCCTGACTTTCAGGCTCTTAACTGGTAGTTCCATTATTATCCTCCAGGTGTCCCTGGAAGCAACTAATCTCAGCAATCTTTAAACAGCACAGGTCCTGTGGTTATACAACTAGAAACCAAATATGCTTTTTTTAATTCATTGGTGCAAATCAATAATTTGACACAATTAAAGAAAAAAGTAATAAAATCACAAGTAGATGAGCAAATTACATCACAAACCACATAACTGAGTAAATGTTTGTAAAAAATCCACCAGGTGTTCTACACACCAACAGATGGAACAACATTTGCATAATCAACAAATTATCATTGCACAATTCTCAAATGATAACAGACCAACATGTAAAATCACAAAAATACACAAAATGAAAGGCTGAGTTTGACACTGTGTAGTAAAGTGAAGTGACACTAACCCTCTGTAAAGAATGTAAGGGAAAAGAAAGCTTGGAACCCTAGCATGCTGTAATGCTGGAATTTAGAATTTGACAGAGGCATCGGTCTGTGCGGCATTGGTTCCAATCCCTTGTTGTAATGAGCATTGAAAAACTTCCTACATCAACTCCTCTAAAAAAGGAGCATCTACTGCATGCTGCTGATTTACGCAAAAACAAAAGAATTGGTTAAAAGGTCAGTGTGTCTGTAGTTACTGAATCAATACATCCATCCACTGAACTGAACAATTATTATAACATATACAGGTAATATGCTGTATATAATAATACAGCTTAAAATGTGACTAATTTATTTCAGATAATATTTAATCCATTTCATGATGATGAATTCCAACATTAACATTAACAAAGTGGAAAATGTTCTTAGATTTTATGGAAAATCTGTCTTCCTTCAAGGAATGGCTGGATGAGAATCCTGGACCAATTAACTACTAACAAGCAAACAAGCTAGATGGGCCAAGTGGTCCCCTGACTCTGAGGAGGCAGCATACTCACAAAGTAGGAAGAAAGAAAAATGGTGCCCAGCGTGATGAGGGTGGCCAGCACCACGTCTGGTGGGATTTCTGTGCCACTGCGCCCCAGGATGGGTGTGAAGATCTCAAACACCACCCAGATGAGAAACATGAAATGGACATAGGGCAGAGTCAGGCCAAATAGGTACAGTACTGAGTACTTTAGTGTGGCACCTTAGAGGAAGGGGAGAAAGGAAGAACAGATTCAGTGGATTCATCTGTTGATCACATCAAAGCAGAAAATACAAAACTTTTCAAACCTTGGGTCCGAATACCTCATGCTTTTTACCTGGCATGGCAAGTTGCACCAGTGACAAGCCACAACCCACCTAGATGAATCACAATATTGTTTCAAGTTCTTAATTGCTCTGAGCAATGGTCAAAAATACTTGCAAAATTCTTTCCCACCCAATACTCAAAGAATGCCAATAACACCCATTTTCACATTTTGTATACATTATCTACACATTATTTGTTCTTGCTCTGCCATTTTCAGTATGACATTTCATTATGTAGTATTTATGAGAGTTTGAATGTCAGTCAGCATTAAAAGAGTCAGTCAGATAAACTCAGGCACACAACAGAAATGATAATTTATTAATTTGCAAGTTGAGCCCCAGTAGAGGCATGTGTCTATGACGACAGAATAAATGGAAAGCAGGAATAAGAAAACAGTGAGATTAAAACACAGGAGTAGAGTGAAAATGTTAGAAAAAAATTATATGTATAGTAACAACTACAGTCAACATGTACGATGTAACAGGGGAGGGGGTTGGAAGAGAGGAAGGCAGAAAAAATTGAGCAGACAGAAGAAGGCCAGTGGAGCTTCACCTTTCTGCTTAAACTCCTGAGAGAGCAGCAGTTTTATGAGAAGCGGGAAGGCCACCATGAGCATGGGGACATAGGCCGAGCACAGGCCCTGCTGTGTGAGGAACACCAGGGCACAACACCACAGAGTCATGCTCACATCGAAATACAGCTCCCCCAGCTGCAGGCGTGGAATATTCTGGAGAACACAGCAAAGCACTCATATCAACACATCGATGAAACTAACTTTAGTCAGAAGTGCTTTCTCTTTCTTTTCAAACTAAAATGAAATACTTGGAAGACGGAAACAATGTAGATTGACAACATACTGTAGGTAAAGAAAACCATGAAAGATTTTTTCAAATTCAAATTGTTATGGAAAATTACCAGCAGTTGAGCTGATGGTTAGAAAATGTCAGGGAAATATTTCACTGTAATAAAATGCTCTGAAATTCACTGTTATCTCTACCTCATTCTATAGATTATGAGGGAAAGTAAGGTTTTCTTTTGTGTACAAATATCCCTGCCGTTGACATAACTTAAAATACTTAAAAATATTTTTTACTACAATCAATGTTTTGGAAATGGTGTTCTAGTTACATTTTACTAGTACTAAGCCCAATAAATGTTTTTCAAAAATTGGATTTGAATGAAAAATAAATGAACAACCAAATTACAAATTTTATTAAAAACATTCACACAGGCAGTGATACAAAAGGGAAACACTGAAGAAATGCAATAAACTAAAGCTAAAGTCCTGTTGCTCCTGTTAAAAAAACCTCTTGGAGTACATCTTGGGATATTATATATATACACATCTTTATTGCAATATGTTTTTTTACATAAAATATAGTGTTTTCTTCGTGATAGTATGGTTTGAATAAGTACAGTATACAGCACACTGTTCCATCAATACTCTCATGTACAATAAGTACTGTCCTGAGAAGAACTGTATTTTCTAAACGGAAATAATTGATACTCAAAAAAAGTGGATAAATTAATAAAACGTTGCAACACAACCATGTCTGTAGATTCTACTGTAGCAGCAAGGCTTATTAAAATACAGGAATTAAGTTTTCTGCTCCCTTGCCAGTGAAGCCCCATCTCTCTCTTCATCTCTGTGGTGCAGCCACAGAGAAGCTATTCATGTAGGCTGATTTAAAGATGTTTTCTTTTGATAAGGGACAGCTCCCAAATGGGGATGCACTTAGCTAAGCCTGGCTATCATGATTAATGGTCATCCATTGGCGCCTATCTGTCTAGGGAGTGCCAGATGGACATCTGGACTGCATTCCTAAGTGTCAGGAGTAAGTGACTCATATCTCACCTTGATCAACCAATCAGGGACTGGTAGGGCCGAGTAACTCACATGGGTCTCTGATACCCATGAAACTTTCAGCCAACGAACAAGCTGAAGTTCCTCCAGGTAAAAACAGGCAACACAGAGCTCCCAGGAGACTATTCCAAAAAGGAGAATTCCAGAGGTGCAAGACTATTCTAAAGAATTCCAGGGCAGGACGGCCCAGGAGCAGAAAGGCACGCCTCCTGGCCATCCTGAGATGGCTAGTGTGTCCGAGTGCCAGAACTTTCCTTTGTTCTAAGAGTCGAGAGCGGAGGTTGCCACGAGTAACCAAAGGATCCACCCGAGATTAGCACCAGCAGCAAGCCTCGTGAACAGGTCAAAACTGTAGACAACTCATAGCCTAAAAAGAATGTTAGCAGGATAAAGAAGACCCAATACAAGAAGGTTCAGTGAAACTAATCAAAGATAATCTAAGATATTTAAAAAAGGGATATAGGATATATATCCTGTATGCAGTGTGGAGTTTGTATGCTCTCTCCGTGTTCATGTAGGTTTCTTCCAACAGTCCAGAGACAAACTGTACTGCTAGGTTACTTGGCTTCTGGGAAAAATCGATCACAAATCTTATAAACTAGGTTTTGCATAGTTCAAAAATAAAAAATATTTTTTACTACAATAATAATGGTGTGGTGGCTCTGTAGCTAAGGATCTGCGCCCGTGGCTGGAAGGTTGCCAGTTCGTATCTGGCAGAGGAATCCTACTCCCCTGAGCAAGGCCCTTAACCCCAACTGCTCCAGGGGTGCAGTATAAATTCTTGATCCTGCACTCTGAACCCAAGCTTCTCTCCCTGTCTGTGTGTCTCATGGAGACCAACTTGGGGTATGCAAAAAAAGACAAATTCCTATTACAAGAAATTGTATATGGCCAATAAAGTGATCTTAAAAAATAAACTGGCTCTAGGGTGCGAGTGCTTGAGTGTGTCTGTGTGTGCCCTGTTGTCCAGAGTCTACCCTGCCTTGCACCCACTGCTTGCCAAGATCCCAAGCTATACTAAAATGGATGAAGCAGTTAGAGACTATGGATGGATGTATACTCTTTTAACAGTGTTGCCTATATATCCTTTTATATGATGAGGTACATTTATACAGCATCTTTTACCATGCACCTCAGCATAAGCACGACGTTCCATTCATGGCACAGCTGAAAGATTTCTGAGGATGAATAACTAGTGACATTTAAACCACAGTTCATTTCAACAGATTTCAAACCTTACATTAAAAATGTTTTTGAAGAACTTATGTTCTGTTTCAAAGGCACGAGAAACACTAAAAGCACCAGTCATGACTAACAACAAAAAAACAAGCTTGTGACAATGTTAAAAAAATAAAGCTAAAGAAAAGATGAGTCAAGAATTTTAATTAAAAAGACAAAACAGCTTTGACTGCTGTACCTTTGAACTATGCAAAACCTAGTTCATAAGATTTGTAATCTTTTTTTATTTATCTGCACGTTATATATCCATCCATCCTTTCATTCATTCATTCATTTACTAACTGCTACATCCAAGCAACGGGTGCAAGGCAGGGTACACCCTGGACAAGATACACCAGGGCCAGATGACCTACCAGTATGTCTGGACTGTTGGAGGAAACGCGAGCACAGGGAGAACATACAGGTCCAGAACTGAACACATGGCCCCAGCAACAAGGCAGCGATGATAACCACTGCCCCACCGTGTCACCTGCAAGTTATATATACAGTACATATTGCATATAGATATAAATAGGGGTTAAGAAAATAGAATACAGAGCAAGATCACCAATAATTAAAAGAAAAAAATCATAACCCCCTAACTGAAGAAGATATGCCAAGAATATACTAGTGCTATTGGTATAAGAGGCACCTGAGCTCTTTGTTCTCTGGCACAACTCTGGCAAAAGTGTAATAAATGAGTGACAAACTGGAATAAACAAATATCTATTAATATCTTGACACACAAATAAATAAACAACATACAGAAAACATACTACAATACAAGTTACCCCTATGAACAAACAAGGCATTTCAGAGGCTTATGTTTTCACCGACCAGAAAAACTCAAGACTTCTATCCCAGATATCAGAAATCCTATACAATGCATAACAGGCCAACAAGAGATAAACAAAGAAGATAACCAAGACTTGAATCTCTCTTCTTATGAATCCAGAAGCTCCCAAACTGAACTGGAATCTATCTCCCAATTGTAAAAATGCATCCACTAATCAGAAGAAAATCAGAGCTTCCTATCAGAGACACCAAGTTCTCTTAATCTTCTTCTTCTGTCTCTTCTCTTTCTTCTCTCTGTGCTTTTTCCTCCTTCTCTTTTCCTACTCCTTTTGCCTACCTGTCTTAGAAGGGGTAAATACTCAAACTGGGATGAAAGCATAGGTAGGGCACCTCAGAGATCTATATCAGCACAGCAGTTTTTCCTCATTTAAATCAATAATATTTAACTAGGAGATATCAGCTCAGGACCAATTCAGAACTGGACAAATGCAACAGATGACATTTACTTTACAGAACTACAACATTTTGCAGAGTAATACCAAAAACAAAACTACAAATATAAAATATGAAACACCAATCATGAAAAGGCTAATTATGAGAAATACGGCAACGCTCAAAAGACCAAGTCATAAAAGTTTCTTAGAAAATCATGTGCATATCAGTTATGTATTGTGACACATCAGACTTGTAATCTTGTAAGAAGAAGAATCACAAAAATATTTGGTATTACATTCTACCGCTATAAAATGAAAGCAAATTCTACTATATTGACATTCAGTCAGAACACAATGCCTTTATAATTGCAGTAGAGTAATTAAATATTGTTTTGATATTTCTAAGTATTTAAATTTGTGCAGAATTTTGTGAACATCTTTATGTAGTTAACATCTTATTAAAAAGTAAGATCCAATGTTTGTATGACAAATATTTCTTTATAAACCAACACAAATATAAACACCTCTGTCAATCCTAAAATGCAGAAACATTAAATTAAAGATGTGTTTATTAAGTCAAAAGGTTTCCCATTAAATTCCACCTTTTTAGGTACAAGAACAATATTTAAAGCTTATGTATATTGAATAAACTTTCAAGAATAATCTAATGCATCTTTCATGCCTGCTTCAACCTGTTCAGTGAAGGACACGCTCCTCCTCCAATGAGCTCTAACCTCTACTATGAGAAATGTCAGTGACAGTGTGGCGGGCTCCAATCATGATGATCACCATTGACAAGTCATTTAGGATCTGAACTGCCCACACTCTAATCACATCCAATGGCTTCCACCACTTCTCAGTAAGTGCTACTAAGCTAGTCAAATTTCTGAAGAACATGCCGCAATATTATTCTACACTTAGTAAAGTCTAAATGTAGTGTATAAGTCTTTAGTATGTTTTTTATTTAATTATATTCTACAAATATAAAGGAAACAAACAATATGACTGTTTTTAGTCTTAAAATCGCGAGGGTAGAAAACATGAAAACTGAAGAGTACTCACTCCATAGTAGAGATTCTTGGCCAGTGTGTGAATGAGTATCATCTTGCCAGCCGCAGCAGAGCCATACAGGCAGATTGACACATAGAAATGGTTGTACCAAAACATGGTCTTTCCCATGAGAGACACCAGCAGAGCGACAATAAGCACAGACAGAAGGGTGATGAACCAACTCATGATAGCCACGCCAACAGCATATGCCAGTTCTCGCACACATCTTCTTCCTGCGGCATAGAAAACATACCACTGACTCAAATGTCTGCAGTCAGTACAGTTGTCAATACCCTCTAGAATACCAAGAAACTCTTGACATGTCAGTTAATCATATTTACACATTTGAGGTGACTTGGGAGGTCAATGGAGCTCTAGGATTGCCGGTTCAAGCCTGTGTCATGCAGCTAGCCCACTGAGACCAGGATTTCACAAACTGCAGTGATTATGAATGCCTGAGAACTGCCAAGGGGAGGGTAGGATTAGTAGGCCAGGTCTCTCTCAGCTCTTGACAACACCAGAAACACCTGTGACCTCCTGGGAGCTTGATGGTTTTGCGGTGCTGTAACTGAAGGACAAGCATCTCCTCCAGTGGTGCCAGTACATGTTAAAAGGGTTAGGTATCACAATCACATTTTTGGATCTTCTAAAAAATAATTTACAAGCGTGAGAACCATAGTGGATACAAAACCAACCCAAGAAAATCTTGTTAGTCTTGTTTGTTATAATCTGGCATACAAGTGGCACTGCACATTTTCTTTTGTGCTCTATCTTTTGAAAACTTTCCTCCAGACCTAGTAGCTTTTCACTTCTCATGTTTTCTTTATTTCACCATTTCAAGCCATTTACCACAGCCTATAAAAATGTGCCACTGGGCATTTCTCATTTTGTTTCTCTACTCCCTCTTTAGGAGTCCACACATTCTATTTTCTTTTTAAATGAAATATTGTAATCAGCTTTCAAATGAATGTTCCATCGGATTAACAGCAGTTAGGAACGGGACATGAGATCAGCAAAGAATAATAATGAACCACTTTGTAAGAGGCTTTAGTTTGCTTTGGTGACGACAGATTTAAAGAATTAAGTGACAGATTTAAAGAATTAAGTGAGCTCAGGGAATATAAGTTATTTTAGTCTTCCCAACAGTTTGCTTCTAAAATGTCTCCTGTTCCCCAAGTTCACTGGCAAACTGTGCAACTGTTTTTCTTTTGTGCTTAAAAGCAGCTTGAAAACCTCTCTTTGTTAGACTAAAGGCCAAAATCTATATATTCAAGTTTTTTTTTATCTAGTTTGTGATAGCTGGATTGAAAGCACCATTTCTCATTATAAGTAGGTGCAGGATTAGTAGCAGTAAATTATATATCCCATAAAACACCAGTGAATAAAGAAAGTCATAAACAAAGTCACAGCATGCTAAATAGGCACTCACCTGCATTACTAGAAAGTGAATATTTCTTTCCCAAATATATGAAAGTTGCCACGGCGACCATGTAGTTGATAATGGTTCCCATCCGAGCTGGGTAAGCCACCACAAATATTCCCAAGAGATCAAAGAAGACCATGTTGCCATGGCGATACTCTGAGGAATCCGCCAATTTATCTGACAGGGCAAGGTGCTTCACTACAGCAAGGATATTGTCACCTGTGACAAATGTAAAGGCTGGGTCACTGCAGGTAATCAGAGCTGCTTCACTAATATTTAAATAAAACTGCATAATATTTATTTCTAAATCATAGAAGGTTTGCAATACATTATTACATTTTTATGTTATTATTATGGAACATAATAAACTTCCACCTTAGCATGACAAGCCACATACTGTACAAGCAAAACGAGGTGAAAGATACATTCATAAGAGCATGGCAAGGATTAGACACAGGATGAGACCATTGGGACCATCTAGCTCTTTTGATTCCAAGTAATAACAACAATTAGTAGTATTTATGCAACACATTACACCCCAAAGGATACTAAAGTGCTCCACACACAGGAGGGGTTTTACTTAATCCACCACTGAAGCGCACAAAATTGCCTTAATTGCCATACAATTAGGTAATGGTCTCTGAGGGTAATAACAGTGGTTCACATGAAATTCCAAATAAATACTAAAGAGACATCCGTCTCTGTCAGTCAGACAAGCAAAGATTCAACCACGAACACCAAAGATATTTCAAAATTGTATTGTAAAATTATATAAAGGTAGAAGAAGAGATCATTAGAAGAGCATAAACACATTTCACAGACATTATTATCTCTTTGAGCACTGTGAAGTCAATCAGTAAGAAGCAAAAGGCAAAAGACACTGTCTTGATCATATAGTCAAAGTGAAGCCATGCAAAAAGGAACTGGTTAGGGACATTGTTGTGAGGTTAGGAATGACCATGGGTCAAGTATATCCTGGACACTGCACAAAGTATCTCAAATCTCACATGGGGTTTGCAACAAAGCAACTAAGTGATACTGGAAACGTGGCAAAAGCTTACATGGTCAAACAAGACAAAACTGAAACATTCTGTTCAAAATGAAAAGCATTACATCTGTTGAAAGCCCAACATAGAGAATCACTCAGTCAGAAGAAGCACTGGACATGAATAAATATTTCGGATCTAGTGGTGTCTAAACAAATGTATTTAAAAAGAGATTGAGACGAGCAGATGTTTGCCCCATGACTTTGCCTTGGTGTGGTCAGGCGTGTCTCACTGGAAAGCATTTTCTGATTTTTTTTAAATGTGCGTGCACCATACTGAGGATTTGTAGTGAGATTACTGTTGGAATCATATTGTGAGGTAGAAACATTGTGTATATTGTGCACATATTGTGTTTATTGCTTTAGGTCCCTCTATATGTGCTGATCTACAGAATGTGTAGCTAAGGCAGTTATTTCTTTAAGCATAGTTATGTAGTTACTGCTTTGCATCCATAACCCCTCTGTATGGGATACAATCTCACACATGAGGGAAAAAGGTATTTAAACCCCTAAATCGAATCATTGGGGAGAAGGAGGAGAACATAGCTTGTGAACTTTCAATTTTTCTAAGAAAAGTCATCTAAGTTAGGCCTAGGAGTCTTTTGCAGTTTTTTTATCCAATTTCATTAGATAAGATAAAGATAAAATCACTTTATTGAAATTTGTCTTTTCGCATACCCCAGCTTGCTCTCCATGAGACACACAGGCACACAGACGGGGAGAGAGAGCTTGGGGTCAGAGTGCAGGGTCCACCATTGTAGAGTGCCCCTGGAGCAGCTAGGGTTAAGGGCCTTGCTCAGGAGCCCAATAGAGTGCTCTGCCAGCTGCAGGATTTGAACCTGCAACCTTCCAGCCACAGGCACAGATCCTTAGCCACAGTGCCACCTATCCTCCCAAAGCAAAGGTTAAACCCATATTTATTTTCTGCTCAATTTTTAATATGTTTCTCAGGATATTGGTTTTGTCTTTTTGATCTAAAAGTTAATCTCATTTTAATTTTTTGGCATTTGATAGTTTTGATTTTTTTAAAACTTTTTATTTAATGATGAAAGATTGTGCACATAATTTTTACAATGATATTATGTATTTGATAGTTATCTCTTTACATGATGACAGCATAGATGGGGGGTTACATGTGGAAATATAATTAGTAAAAACATAACATAATAATCCCCACAAAAAAACTGCTTCATCTTCTTTCACAGAATAAAGTCAGGTCTCAATGGGGTCATAAATGTAATCCAAGGTTGTCAGTATCTGTTCTCCACATGTATCCTAAGAGAAAAGGTGATCTTTTCCATTACATGAATCTCCTTAATCTCCTACTCTTCAGTAAGATTTTCTTAATGAAGAATTCCTAATATATTTCTAGCTCTGATTAATGTAATCAAATGTAATCAAAAGTAAGATTACTCAAATGTATCACTGAGAATTGAAATGGCAGGTTTAATATATTATATATTATACAGATGCAGCCATTCAAAGTGCGCGGCACAGACACGTACCGGAAGTAATTGGCTACGGCCTTGTGCGTCACGATGCAAAATACCGCGGTACGTGATTGGTTGACCGACAGGGGCACTTGTGGTGCGTTGGTCGGTTGTAGAAAGATTTAAATGTCTTTACTGTGCCCGTTTAAGTATTGAATATTTATATGGAATTTTACAACTGAAGGGAAATCTTAGTAGCTGAGCATAAAAAAATAGGAGCATACTGTAACGCGTGTGAAAGCCATAAACGATATTAATTTTGGAACTTAAACATACAGTATATGGCTGGTCTCGGTACTTTAAAGAAAACATACACACCAGTATTCCATTTCTCCCTAAACATTTTAAGCATCAAAGTCTTTAACTAACGTGATACTGGAGTCAACAAGCATACTTTTAGAATTTGATTAAAAGGGAATATAATATGGAATCGCGTATCTAAAGAAATTCATAACGATATAATTATACTCATGTACCGCAACACAAGAATTGTTACGTAATGTTTTGTAGGGCTTTTTCAACACTCCTCATGTGACCTCGCCGGTGGCGCTGTGGGTTAGGTTCCTGACTCCCACGTCACACGCTGTGTGTTCGAATCCCACTGGAGCCGTTACTTTTTTTTAACAAACATTTCTTTGAAAAAATAAAACGTTTCCCTGGCTCTGAGATTAAATAAAACTTCACTCGCACCAAACAAATTTATATTTCTAAATATCACAACATGATCGAATTTAAGTCATTTTAATAACAATGAATAGTCACCTAGGCATTACAATATAAACATTTATATTGATTTAAATCGCGTTTAACTCGCCTTCATTTAAAACCCATAAATAAAGCTGATACTGTTTAGACTTTTAATTATTTAAAACTGTATTACAGCAGCACAATGCACAATGCAACGAAAATCGCTATCTTTGTCTTCTGCGTAATAATGTTCACTTCTCTGTCCGGCAAATTTACAATAGTAATAATAATGAACTTTATTGTATATGGCGCCTTTAAATCTCTCTCCTCAAAGCGCTTTACAGGATAAAAACAATAACAACAATACTGTAGGCTGGGCAAACAATTTGAAATATAATGATGTGTTCTGGCTTAGACATTAACGAAGAGCATAACACGTGGGCGGCCAGTGGGAGTGCTGGCTGTGACTAATTAAACCGGTTTCACAGGTATTTTCAAAGTAGAAGGGGGCGAGATTTCCACCTCTCCCCCTCCAAAACCAAGGAAGTACAGTACTTACTAGTTAAGAAAGCTAGGCTCCTCAATGAAATCACCTTTTCATGCTAATGCGTTGGTGTAACAGTCCGGGTGTGGCAAGCTTCTAATGTCAACCCAACTATGGCGAAAGGAACCCTTCTATCATTGGAAGACAATGAAGATATTCTAGCCCTAAATGAATTAATAGCAAACATGGTTTACATAAAATACATTTTTCCAAGAAAGTTTAGCCTTTGTCACTAATGAAACCACTAAATAAAGACATAAAGAAATCTTAAGATTTTTAAAATACATGACTTTGCTAAAATTTATTTAAAAATAAAAACGATTACAAACGCCAGCGGAGAGAGAAAACAGGGGAGGGATGTTGGTTTTGCATAAGGGGCGGGGCTATGGAAATGAGGTCTATTTGGGACATGTTCTGGCTGTTTGTGAATTATCATTGTTGAGTATGGAGTGTTGAGGTATTGATTTTGTGTTATGCTTTATGTTGAAAAGTGAGGTGGATTTTGTTTATGATAAAGAGGATAAACTGAGTTATCAACAAATTGTAAATATGACGTTTGCATTGGCATTATTAATTTTTCACTTGAGTGTATGGAGGATTGTTTGCTGTCACATGAGAGCAGTTAATTACATGTATTTTTTTATTCACAATCAGACAAATGCAACATAAATTGTTATCTTTGTCTTCTAAGTATATTAATAAACTTTCAGCATAGCTTTCTCCCCGTTTAGATTTATTTTTCTTGGGATTTTGGGATAAAACGTGGAAAGATTAGATTAGTAATCGTTTTTATTTTTTAAATACATTTTAGAAAAGTGTAATCTATACTAAACAGCTGTATTTATTTAATACCACTCGATATTTAAATTAATGGAGTTTAGTTGATACTGTTTAAACTTTTAATTATTTTAAAATTGGATTAAAGCATTGTACACATGCTTAAAAGAGGAGAAAACGCAAGCCTTCTTCAGGTGTGAGGGTCTTCTGCTCAGAATAAAACGCTTAAATGTAATGTAGGCTCTGAATGGGTTTAATTATGATTTGGGCTTGATTAAGATCGCTGCCTTTCATCCAAAATCCTGCTTGAATCCTTCTAAGCTAAAAATTAGACACGAGAAGGGGCTCTGGTGAAATTTCTCTTTTTTTTATTTCTCATTTTTTCTTAGAAAAATATCTTACCCGCTGCAATCCGGGCACAGAAGGATTAAAAGAAGCCAGACAGGCAGGGGGAAGAGTGAGTTCTAAATAAAGAGGTATCCAGGTAACAGTAAAGGTAACAGCCGCAGACGTGGCCTACTTAGCCTGCCAGGGTTATCCTACTCTCCCGGAGGAGGTCCACCGGGAGATAGCGCTCCAGGCGTTCCTCTGGGCTCTGGCGCCGACTGAGGCGCAGTGCCACGTGATGCTGGCCGTGCCGGTCCTCTTGGAGCAGGCCCTGGCTTTGGCTGAGCAG